ACTGTGGTGAGGCCTAATGCACTTGAACTGTGAGTGCCGCCACATGCAAATGCAATATCCTGTCGTCACCTTCTTTTTTCAAATTAACTTAACTGTGATTGTTCAGCTTACCTGCCATAAGTTTTGTTTGAGTCTGAAACAACGGGGTGAAATGGCCTAAAGTTTGTGGGTGCGTTTTCCTGGGTTGTCCCTTTCTCCTTTTCTTCCTTTCCTACCGCGTCTCTGCTCGGTTCCTGCTGTGTTGCTCTCCAAATTGCACACAGCCCCTTGCATTTTGAAAGTTGTACATGTATGAATTATTTTTTTCATTACAGGGAGATTTGCATGAAGTACTTTTGCGCCCTGAGAACCCCACATCTATCGCATAGACAGCTTAGCATTTTTGCATTCGTAGTTTTGAGCGGCTGTAGCGCTGCGCCGCACAGGTGCAGCTAACAGTTTTTTCGTTCCATTTACTCTTGAAATTAGTGCACTCAATAATTTCATAAAGAAATACGAGTAAATTCCGTCATCAGTCTGATGGCTTTCCAAGCGTCCTCGTCACATGGCCTGTATGCTGTTCAGCATTTGCTCCTTCGTCCATCAGTCATCCTCGCCATCTGACCAGTTTTGCTTTTGTTTTGACGGACATTGCTTTTAGTTAGGCCCTTAATATCAACTGGGAAGGCTTCGTGAAGTTTCGGAATTTTCTAGAAGGAGGTGGGCAGACTTTGATTACATTACATTCGGCGGCGAGTGCAGACGGCTGAGGTAGTTCTGTTTTGAAAGAAAACGAAACAGAACTTTTTTTGAAATCTTGTTCTCAGCGGAGTTCGGATAGATCTCAGTTGTTCATATGCCGTGCAGGGCCCTCAGTAGTATAGCGTTGGTACTCGTGAGCATTTCCCCAGATTGCGACGCGCCAGGCTTGCCGTTTTTGCATTAAACTGAAGCGGTCAGGTCGTAAACTGTATGTATGCTTTCCTTACCGTAATTCACGCAAATCATAAAAGAAAGTAAATTCCGTTGAGTGATAGTTCTTTGAAAATGGCCTAGTCGTTCTGGTTTCCGGGTTAGTAATTTTCCTTCTAGAAGTTTCACATGTCCGTGCGTGAGAACTATGCGTACTTTAGGAATTGAACTTGAAACCTTTAGAAAACATGTGGGTGAGGAATGCCTTAAAATTTCAATTTCCTAGTATGCTTTATTCCCGAGTCAGCAATTTCTCGCCGAAACTTTACGTGCTCGTGCGTAAGAAGCACTCGTACCTGCGGGGTGATTCGAATTGTTTACGTTCTACGTGGACAGTGAGCATCCTCTTAAAATCTCAGCTTTTATGGCTCCTGAGTTAACTATTTTCTCACCAGAATCTTCACGCGCCCGTACGCGGGGCTAAGACGTCAATGAAAACTGCTTCCGCGTTTCTGGAGTAGCTCTTGACTTGGGAACTCGCAGGCAAAATTTCTAAGTTAGGGCTTGCTTGGTTGCGGTATTAAAATACCCGCACAGATACACGCACCACAAGTCGTCATAACGCGCGTTTTTGCATTTGCATATGTTCAAGAACGCATGAAAATATGAAATTGCCATTGGTGGCGAATTTAAGTTTGGCGAACCATTATATCTATCCCTTAGTTGCGAAGCGTGAAAGTGCGGGGTGCAAAAGCT